ATCATGTCCATTCAACTAAAATATCTGACAAACAAAAAAACTTTTTATATCGACCAATAATTAATCTCATTTGATACAAAAATCTAAAACCAAGAACTAATTTATTTTTTGTTACTAAGTGGGCTATATAAAAAATAAAGGCATAAATATATGCACAAATTAGTAAACACTTCCTTACTTCTATTCGGTCTTTTCCGTTTTGCAACATGATGCTCAGATTGAGATGAGAATATCAAGTGTGTTCGCAGTCGATCGTTTCCCGTTGATCGAAAACCATGATTAGGTTTAGCCATCTGCAGAAAAAAGAAAATGCGTTAATCTGTCTTCGTAAGTTTTATCGTTATACAATATCAATCAAGATCATCTTCAATACCATCATTGGAGCTTAACCAAAAATGTCCTCCCTGAACAGCCGTTAACAATCCTTTTCTACAATACTTCTTGTTTTCAATACTACCATCACCACCTCCACAAAGAAAAAATGAGGAAAGTCAATGCTTTGAGAAAAATCAGGACTTTGACGATTAAAAATGCGGTCACCATGAACAATTTATCATAAAGCACAGTTGAAAGATGAATTAAGAAAAGAAAGCTGTAAAAAAAAAAGCGAAAACAACAACTCTGTTACACGAAAAATCACAAATAACACGAGGAAAAAGCCGACGAAGATGTAGTATCTTGAACGTTATTTTTGAAGCAGGCACATTGATACTTTACACATCTTTAATATTCAGACGAGAGAGCATCTATACTCTCCTACAGCTTTATACCAAACCAATTCACAATCCTCATTAACTGCAAAATTTGGCAAATTGCCAACTTAAGCATTCATTTATCGTGTCGAAATGAGCCGTTGCTTGACATTTCAGGAAAATACACTGAAAAGTTCAGACTAGCGATGGATGTGATTACTGTTTTCCAACTGCAGGTTGGTCTTCTTTTCCGCGTTATATCGCCTTTATGATTGAGATCTGCACAGATGCATCCGTTACTGTGTTTGGATAAACTGCGATAAACTGTTTATAGGCAAAAAAAAAAGATTGAAGACACACATATGAAGACGCTTAACGGATGCATTGGAAAGACGATACTTGTAGGTTCTACTATTGTTTGACGTAATCTTTTACACACAGGTAGATACATTGAAACGACATTCTTAGTTGTTTACTGAGATGAAAAAACTGCTAAAGAAATTGCTTGAGACTTTAGAATTCCAGCTGACTTCTTGATCTGGAAGATAAAATCTTCACCGACCACTTTGTTGATATCTACTGGGCAAAACGGAACGAACAAGAATGAAGTCTTTAAACGTTGATGAAAATATATGGGCGATACAGCGACATTGTCTAACAGTAGCAAGTTAAAATTGTGACAGTTATGGTTTCTCATCCATTTTTCAGGATCCTCACTTAGTGTACCAGTTCTGCCCCTTGTTGGTATTGCTATGTAAAATGACTGAGTGAGGTATTTTTGCAAAAACTGTTGTTAAAAAATGTGATAAAACTGTATGTGGACACTTAACCTCGCTTGAGTAACAAAAGTATGAATAGATTTTTTCGCAGGCCATAGAAGCGACAAGTGAAGGGAAATATTAAGATTAGGCGAACAGAATTAAAGCTGCAACCAGGTTTGGAGGTTTTTCTTATAGTTTCGCGCTTTTTGATGCTCTCATTGTACACTGTGCAGCGTATAGTCCAACGGTTATTTTTGTTTGACTGATCGTTTTGACGCGTTTTCCTACTAGTGCCAATTTTTTTGCTTTCTCACCGCTCAGGTGAGACTTGATAAATTTGGCTAGTGATTATTTCATTAAACGCTTAAAACGAATGGTATTAGAAAGTAATTTGTATTTTCCCAGAGCTGTTTTACAAATTATTTTGGGAAGATTGAAAATTTGGAAGTTCCATGTTATATCTGCTGTTTTGATCAGGCTCAAAGTAGTGTTCTTAACCTACCTACTGGAAAATGAACAGAAGCAAGATAGTTGTAAGAGAGGACCGTGTAACCGTGTAAGAGAGGACCATTTGGTTGATGTGTCAAGCTAGGTTAAAAGCATAGTAAGACGAGAAACTGCTGAAAACGTAAGCTTATTCAAAGGAATGGTCTTTGTCAAGACAGCAGTTCTACGACAGCCTAAAAGTTGGTAGTTGTTATTGAATATTACTAGGTTCTTTACATGTGGAGTCAGTGGTGTGATGATATGACGAGAACAACCCAGAACAAATGATGTTTTGTTCTGAAACGGATTGGGGTCTACATTCCTACTTGTAAAAAAACATTCAACCGAGAAAGACTTTTGTTTTGAATAATAGCATTAGCAGTCTTCAGCCTTACAAATTTATTAGTTTCATATTTGTAGTAAGACAAGAGAGCTGTGTTCCCTAATTTATTCCCTCTCACCTCATTCTTTTTTCTTCTCATTTTTGTTGTTTTTTTCTTGTAAAAGTAATAAAAAGAGCTCATACCGTGGCGTTCCGTTGTTGCTTTTGACTAGCGCTAAACCAGTCCATAATTTCTGCTGCTGTCGATCGTTGGGAGGGAAAGAGGGAGGGAGAGGTAGGGGTTTTGTGATTTTCGCTCGTCCGATATCGCCCGACAAAACTTGAATTGTTTGGTGTAGTTAGAATATACGTCGATATAGGAAGGAATTTTCTTCTGGCTTTCTTCTATGTGCCTTTTTTTTTTCTATTTTCTTCTGTAGAAATTCTTTTTTTTTTTCTCACTGTTGTCTATACTGATGAAATTTTTGCGATTTTTACTGGGGAGGAATTGTTGGAGGAGGGCTATATAAAACCTCCGTTGCACCAAGCGCACACAAATACAAACACGCTATTGATCATTGAGATAAGTGAGCTTTACAGTTTTTTACGTCTGACAGGTGTATACAGCAGTGATTCGCTGCATATTTTCATTGTCTTATTTTATTTTATTTTATTTTTTGTTTTGCTTTTATTTTGTTTTTATTTTTCGCTGTTATAGTGAACAGAAAGTTGATGGTTTTGTGCAAAATTTCCTTCGTTTTTTCGCTTTTAAACGTTTATTTTAGTTGGATTAAAACAGATATATACATATATCACAAAGACACCTTCAGACAGTTACTGATAAACAGAAAAACACCAACGAGACATTTCATTGATGTTTGTCCTCTCTGTTTTGGTTAATTAATACCTGGCAGGAAAAGATAGTTGTATAACCAATTTAAAATTAAGAGTTAAGTAACTAATTGCTATCCAGAATTACTTTATTTTATTACCAGCAAAAATATGTTGCAGTTATAGCTTTTTTTGCTATTGGTGCTAGTTTTTGCGGTGTTTTTCCGGTTATATAAATAAGCTAATTAAATTGTATATTTCAATAATTAATTTATTCACCTATCCATTTGTTAGCTTGCCCACATTTATGTGTACGACAATATAGCTCGAATGTTTATAGAATTTTTTTGATGTTGCAGCTTTTATTTGACTTCGTCTGTTCAGTCAGCAGTATTTGAAGACCGATTTGGCCTTACATTTTACGACTATTTAGATAAAACATCCTAAGATGAATGTACAGTTTCTTCCAATTAATACATTTGTCGATACATCATTTTGGAGCGAGGTTAACAGGCGAAAATTAAATTTATGGAAACTAAGTGAAGGTCCATTTCCAGTCAGGGCAGTGTACGATAATTGTAAGTCAGTAATCTTTTTTTTTTCGCACTTGTATTGTTAAGGCAAGGCATTGTTCAGGCAATTACATCTGTAATTTACTGCTGTTCTTTAATCTTCACTCTGTCTTCTATAAGTCAATTTTGTTAGGCACAAGGTTTTGGCATGGAAAGAAAGAACGGCATTTGAGTGTTGAGTCGTAGAAAGAGTTTAGGAATACTGTAGTTCCCCCTTAATTTTAATGAAGTTGAATGAAAACTTTTGGAACTTAACGTAGATGAAAAAAGGATATACTTTTTTGTTAATTCAAGAAGAACAATTACTTAGCTGAAGCAGATATAAAGTCATAAAAAAAGAGTTTTATAATTTATGCGAAGTCAGAATACTCTCACTGATTTGTTCAATTGAATAAGTAGCAAAAATTTTTTTGTATCATTAATGTTGCTTTAAAATGGGGAGTTCTACCACGCCGTAATTTAAATTTTTTATTGATGTGCATTAGATATGACTTTGGTGCTTTTAAAGTAAGTCAGAAATTTTTTTGTCACATCTTTGTTTCCAAATCTATGTTTGACGGTTGGAAGAGAAGAGGTTGTTGTTGTGTGTTACTGGGATAGCTATTCAAATTTAAGCATTAAATTTTTCTTACAGCGAGCAACTTAGTTTCTTTAGCTACCGTACACTTCTGATTCTTGTTAGTTCACTTATGAGACTTTAAGCAAGCATGGCAAAAAAGTGTTTCCTAACTAGTTGCAAGTTAACTGTTTATAAGAAAAAGTGGCATCTTGATTTCTTCTAGTTTGTAATTTCTTCATTCGGTAGGAGCTGCATTTTGAGACACCTGTACAAACTGTTAGCGGTGGAAGAAAACATTTAATAAAGATGGTTACGTTTAGTTGACCAGAGGAAGCATATTGTTTCTCGAATAATCGTTTTAAAGAGTGTACGATTGGTATCAAATAGTTGAATTAACTTGATACTGATTGAATTGGTGTCTGCAGTTTAATAATTTTATTTTCGCGGAATTAAATGTTTTATTTACCATATTTCATAAAAGGAGTTTTCCGAAAATTTAATGTAGTGTTTTAGCTGGTAATCATTCAGCATCATTGCTTTCCTTCTCTTTTGATGCTTTTACTGAAATTTCCCGTGAAAATCTTCCGAGGGGTGTAGTTCCAGTTCATGGAGACTTATTTGTTTACAACTCGTTGGTCAGTTATGAGAAAGCAGATCGGGAAGCATTTTTGAAAAAATATGCTTCTGAGGCAAGTTATACTCATCAAACGTTTCTTTACTATTGACATTCTGTAGTTATAAAATTCATTTTTTTTTTTTTTTTTGCATTTTTTAAAACATTTTTTGAAGGGGTCATTATTTGTTGCTATGGTCACACAAATATTTTTTTATGTTTTATTTTTCTGTTAGCTTATGTTTTTTCCTTCATTTCTTTCTGATGCGTTTATCCTGAAGTTGTACGGATAGGCTTGGGCTTTATTGGTAAATGTAGTTATTGCAAATGAATTCTTTTTTTAGGTTGTTAATGTCATCAAAACTAATAAGTGGGTTACCAGTCCCGACTTACTCACTACCTTTATCCTCACAGTTTTTGCGGTGAGTTCCTAAAAACGAATTTTTTTACTTATTACGGTGATATCATGATATAAATAATAGCAGTTTTTCAGGATCTAAAGAAATTCAAGTATGATTATTGGAATTGCATCCCTGCTTTAATATACCCAAAAAACATGAAAATGTTAAAAGAACCAGAGGTATTAACAAAGGACATTTGTGCACTAATTTTCAATAATATGGGTAAATATCGCGGAGAGCCGTTTTTATTGACCTCTAAAGGATCTGCACCTCTCAGTGATATTCTTTTGAACAAAACAGTTTCGCAAAACGAGGTTGACTTGGTTTTTATGGATCCCTCAACGGAGCAGCTTATTCCTGGTTGGCCTTTGAGGAATTTAATAGCAGCTGTTGCATATAGCAGGTTCAAATCTTTTATAAGGAGTAACTTTGCGGTTGTAATATATTTTTATTTTTATAGTTTTTTTGCTAATCTTTTCAACTGCGGTTATGTTGTATCATTTTAAATCTTTGTGAAGAGAATAGTTTCTGTATTGGTTTTTACCCATACCTTCTAAGGAAAGATTGGAGTTCCATGAGGATCATCTGTTTTCGAGGCGGGCGGTCTTATTCAGCATTTCGGCTCGTTATTTCTTGGGATTCTCAACAAAATACTTTAAGTGATGTTGCTGTCGGATGGGAACGTGACTTAACTGGAAAGCCAGCAAAGTTGTCGGTGGATTTACGCAGTCGTTTTGACCCGATAAGGTTTTCAAACAGGCCATTGATGAAACCTGTTGTTTTTCATTCAAATTTGTACTTGAATCAGTCTTTAGGTTAATGGAGCACAGTGTGGAATTAAATTTGCGCCTTATTCGATGGCGTCTAGTGCCTGGTCTGCAGTTGGAACTTTATAGTAACTTAAAGTGCCTTATTCTTGGTTCTGGGACTTTAGGATGCAATATTGCTAGGTCACTCTTAGGTTGGGGTGTGCGTAACTTCTCCTTTGTGGACAATTGCACAGTCTCGTTCAGTAACCCTGTTCGGTAATTGTCGTTTACTTTCTAGTTTTATTTACAGTTATTTGGAAGATCCTTTATTCACCTTTTTCAAATTTCTCCCAGTTTACCGACTCGAAGCACATTTGAAGTAATTGATTAATTAATTTCTTTTTCACTTTTTTTCTTAACGATTTTGCTTAAGGCAGTCGTTGTTTGAATATGCGGATGCTTTGGATGGTGGCAAAAGTAAGTCGAAAGCAGCTGCTGATGCCCTTCGTCGTATATTCCCATCTGTTAAAGCAGAAGCCTATGACCTTACAATTCCTATGCCGGGACATACGGTTTCAGCTGAAGGTAAGTGAGGTTAATTAGCCAAGTGTGATGAAGTTCTGGCTTTTTTTCGTGAATGTAGAATTTTTTGTACTGTTTTGTACGTTTTTTTCCGGATTTTGCTTTTGTTTTGCTAGATTGTAATTTTTTGGTACGAGTTCCTAACTTTCTTTGACTAACGATCACTTTGTTCAGTCTAAAATTTTAAACATTTAAAGGTTTTGGAAAAAAATACAATTAAATTACTTTGACTAATTTTAACCGAAAACACTAAGGTTCTGTTAGGTCAAAATTTATTACTGGTAACAGACTGAGATATGACTTTTGATAGGAGTGGTAAGTGCTAATTATTTATCCTTATTTGGTAAAATAAGAGAGGGGGCAGTCGGAAATGACGTAATTTATGAGTAGTTCTGATGCCATTTTTGAAACTGAAAGTTTTCCTCTGCTGAGCAGTGTTTTTTTTTCTGTTGAAATTTTTTATTATTAATCGGGCACAAACGATAGAGCTTCCTTTCCAGGGAAAGAAGAGGTCACAGAAGCCATTAATCTGCTTGAAAAGCTGATCATTGATCATGACGTGGTCTTTCTGGTCATGGACAGTCGTGAAGCAAGGTGGCTTCCTTGTCTCCTTTCAACGTACCATCAGAAGGTTGGATTTTGATTACTTGGAAACGATTCGTATTTTTTTGAATTCACTTAATTTGAAAGGTTTATGGACTTTAGCTTGCGATTAGTGTAGCACTTGGCTTTGACAGTTACGTCGTTGTTCGTCATGGTTTCAGTCGTCCAGATAAGCTGAGCTGTGATGTGCCATTGGATTCGGTAGTCATTCCAGGCTCTCATTTAGGGTGCTACTTTTGTTGCGATGTAACCGCTCCAGGAAACACGGTCTCAGACAGAACTCTAGATCAGCAGTGTACAGTAAGTTCAGTTGAATTACAGTTAACTGCCAAGTACATGAGGAAAGTATTATGGTGAGTAGACTGTAGTCAGGGTCATTGGAATTTTTTAGGTAAGTCGTCCAGGGGTTTCAATGCAGGCAGCCGGTGCCGCAGTGGAATTGTTAGCAGCAGTTTTACAACATCCAAGAACAGGTATGGCACCGGCAAGGGTTGACGAAAACGATGAGTCCACTACTATTTTAGGTGCCACCCCTCACCAGATTAGATGTTTCGTTTCTAAGTTCCAACAGGTATTAAAATCTTTCAGATTTCCTCTTTGTTATTTTCTTTCTCTAAATTTTGGTTTTTGTAGGATGTCTAGTTAGTATTTTTTTAGGACGATACTGTACTGTGATTCCTCTTTTAAATTCTTAGGCCGTTTTTTCTGAAACTTAATGGCATGGAACTTAACTCAAATTTGGTCTTACTAAATCTGTCTCTCACTTCCGTCATATCAGGTTGAAGACTGAACTACCCTTTTTTGCCCACATTAGATAATTGTCACCTTCTGCCTCTTTTTTTTTTTTATTTCAACAATAATTGTTATGTGTTTTAAAAGTTTCCTCTAAAACGTCTTAAAAAAAGGTTAATTTTTTCTAGTAATTTTATCCCTGAATGTTTACGGCTGACTTTTAGATGTAAATGACCAGTTCATTTTGTTTTGCGCAGCTATTTATCTTTCACTGTAGTTTGTTTTGAATTTGCAACATTTACGAAAAAAGATACGCCGACATTTATATTGATGTAGCCTAAGTTACGAGTATCTGGGCGCTGATGACATGGTTAGTCACGGAAATAATTTTAGTAGATTGATGCTGTTGAACGTAATGGAACGAAGGGATTTCTTCAACTGATAATAGGAATTTGTTGGATGAAATGGTTGAAGAATGACAGAAATGCTTTAAGTGGTAATCTTTAAGCCTGTACTGTCGAGCTAGCAGTGAAGAAGTTGCAAAAATAAGCCTGGCTTTTCTCGAAATAAAATCGATCGGATAAGACTTTACTCAAGGAATTTGAAGTTTTTCGATGTGCTAGAGGACTATATTTTCTTACCGGTATTGGATGAGTAGAAAATGGCGAATAGAAATCTTTAAGCGCCTACTGCACCTATTTGCACATTTTGGTGTTGATTATTATTTATTTTTCGTATAAGGAGGGTGTGTAAGGTAGAAAGTATGAGAGCTCGGGAGATGAAGGTATTTTCTTTTATTGTTTTTAATCCTAAAATCATTCATCTTTCATCATCGAAGTTGGTCCACTTCTGGAATGCTAACGAGATTTTTTAATTATGGTGCCTCCTATATTGGTTAAGAGATTTGATAACTGTGTCATTATAGAACTTATCTTTTACAAAGTGGCTAATCGGACAAACAGTGAGTAAAGTTTTCCTTAAACTGTTTTAGCTGCTTTCGTATTTATTTTATATGAGGATTTGTACTGTTTTTCATCCAAGTTTCTGAGAACAGTGAGTCACCTGTCTACATTTAATATTGGCAGTAGGTTAAAGGGATACTTAAATAATTTATGTTTGTTTCATGAAGTTGTTTATACCTCATTTTTTCAATGAGGCATCTTTATTTTATGGTTAAAATAATTTTTCCTCTTTTTTTTTACCTGATTAGTTTTATTTATTATACTATTATTCTCCTACATTAATCCATTCATTTGGATGTATTCTGTTTAAGTATTACTAAGCTAGTTTTAATGGTTAACGTTAGATTCTCTTTTGTGTATCTTATTGAAAGTTTTTTTATATCACTAATTGTTTTCTGAAATAGGCCTGTGCACTTTCTTTACGACTTTTTCATCATTACAAGTTGCATATTCATTTTTTTCATCACAATTTTGCTTTCTTTAAGATAACTCCAACGGTTATACGATTTTTACATTGTTTGGCATGTGGAAAAGCGGTAAATGCTGCTTTTGAAAATGGCCATCTTAATTTCCTTATGCGGGTTTTCAATGAACCTAAATACTTAGAGACGATATCAGGTCTTGAACAGATGGAGAAATCTTTTAACGAACTGTCGATTTGGGATTTTAATGATAACGATAGTGTTGCATCGTCTAGCTCCCTATAAATGATGAAGTCTCAATGAAACATTGATGTTTTTCATGTTATTGTATAATGCTAATATACCGTCGTTTATTTCAGCTCACTTTCTATTATGGGTAATCGTGTTATCCTTAATTAGAGTTTTTCTTTGCGCTTTCGCTACAGTCTAAGTCAAGAAAGTATTTAAGGAATGAAGTGAGATGGTTAGGCAACTGGTTGAGCTTTAATCTTATTTCTTTGAAAGTTTCAAATATGTTTAGATCTTCTTTTCTAAGACAGAGTAGTTTTTTTTTGGGAATAGTTAAAGTAATTGAATCATGTTAGTGTTTAGTCGAGGGTCACAGACTGTGCGAATGCATCTATATTGTAGTTAAAGAAACGTAAAAAGCTTTGAGCTGTAATTAATAAGCAGTTGCTTCGTTTTAACAGATGTTTTGTAATTTATGTACTCTTCAGTTTAAGAATGTTGCGGGCATTCGGTGGCAGAAGTAGACACTAAAGACGTCTCTGTGGGACGATTTTTGGGTCATAAATCTTGTTAGGAAGTTGAATGGGATGAAGTAGGATTGTTAGGAAAAAATTGCTGTCGTGTAGGTAAAGGTGTCAAATTCTAGGAGGTTTGGGGTACTGCGTTTCAGAAAAAAGGGTAGAGAAAGTGCCTTGTTTTTGTCTTCACTTCCAAATGAATTGCTTCAGGTTAGTCAGAATAAGTGCTATTCTTGCCAGTACTGTCTACAAAATTCATTTTTTTTTTTTTTTTGTTGGTTGTTATTATTATTGGAACTCTAGAAGATTTCAAAGGATCTCTGTGAAATGAAAAGCCAAGTGTAATTTTGAAATTTTGTCATGTTGTTTATTAGTTTGCTTGATGTTTTATGTAACGATTCATACTGTTCAGTTACTGCAGTCTGTGGTTGTAGCAAATAAAGAAGTTGTAGGAGCATCCATTTCAAACTTGTTGTGGAAATCTTTTGAGTGAAAACGCTTGTTTTGGAGAAAGCCTGGTATTCTTGGCGCGTTGCCACTAAGCTACAAGAAAGTTACATGAGCTTAGGGGTGTGTCCAAGTTTTACACTCCATGCGTCAATGATGTATTTCTGATCGTATTTCGTTTATCGGTGTTTTTTCCTATCTAAAGCATTTTGGTTCATGTTTACTGAAATCCTGGTTGAGATGTGCGGGTATTTTTATTTTTTACGTTTTCACTTGGCTACTGTAATAACTTTGTTAATTGCGCATGAGCTGTGGTTGTTCTTGTTGCTGTAATCCGCGTTTTGTGAGTCCTTCTGGAAATTGTGAAATAAGTTTAATTGAGTGGTTCCGTAGTTGTACTGAAGGGCTGTGAAGTTACAGAAAAAAAAAATATAATTTTTTG